GTCATCCTCAGACAGCAACTTTAAGTTTTAGAATAAAAAAGTGGTCCGGGGATAGCTCCGGACCACTGTTCTTTTTCACTTAAGTTTTGCAACTTTAAGTTTTAGAAAAATTAAAAAGGTGGTCTAGGGATGCCATCCCCGATCGATTTTAAGTTTTGAAAAAAAAAAAGAAAAAAAAGAAATAGTCCGAAGATGTTATCCCCGAACCGCTTTTCGCTGCTTCTTTTTTTAAAAATACTTAAAGTTGCGGTCTGATGATAGAATTTTTTAACCACGTTTTTTTTTAAAAAAGAAAATCTTAAGTTTCGATTCGAGGTTGAAATCTTCAGACCGAAGGGGTAATTTTGTTAAAAAAAAAAAATTACGTAACTTATAAATGGGGCAATCTTAACCTTCCATTCAGAATAGACGGTTGGATAAAAGGGATGATAGAACTTCTATGTTGTAGAAGAAACATAGAAATCTTACCCTTTATTTATATATATATAACAACAATAATGAAAGATAAATGGCATTGGCATTCATTGAACCTAACCACGCACAAGCCTTGCAAAAAAAAAAAAACAAAAACAATGGGAAAGGCACCCTACGCGTCCTCCCTCAATATATAAAGGCCCAACCCTCCAATACAAAGTTGCAAACCCTGTTTCTTGTGTGTGTGTGTGAGGAAACAGAATGGGTGGGTTTAGAGTTGTTGTGATGCTTCTATTTGTGTTCATTGGTGTTTGTGACTACGGGGCGAAGGGCATGGAAACCAATCCCAACTTTGGTAAGTTTTCATAAGCAGGTAGAAAGTTCTCCTTTCGGGAGATAGGAAAAACAGAAAATAGGGATTCTTATTTTTCAAATATGGTAATTTAGTTTTGGTGCTGGAATACAAAGTATTTATAGCCTGCAAACAATGGATAAATTGTTTTTACAGTATTTTACCATTAATCCTGATAATTTATGAATAAGGGGTCTCAACCCCTTTTACGGATGATGCAAACGGTGCACCATCGAATGGCATTTTCCACGAAATGGTATTCCGTTTCGGCATCGATCGACTAAACAATGACTGCGACCAAACAATATATTACTAGGCTTTCTATGGTGCATAGCTTTATTATTTCTTAGTACTCCACTCACGATATTTTTTTAAACCTTTATTCTTTTTCTTTGTTTTTTTTTTTTTTTTGGGTGGTGGTGGCAGTTCACACTTGCAGCCCATGCTGCAATAGGGGCATCTGCACCAGGTCATGTCCCCCAATTTGTCACTGCTAGGACGTGTGGGACAGCTGTCCCATCTGGTGCAAAAAATGTGATTGCACCGAAGGGGATTCCAACTCCAACAAATGTCTATGCAAGGATACCTACAACTATTCCCCACCAAATTGTCCGGCTTCAGGCTTTGCTGTTAAAGGGCTAGATGAATTTGAAAGTGAAGGCCCATCAACTAATTATCTAAAACCTACTTACATAAATGGAAGGGTCATCATCGTGTATGACCCGCATAAATAAAAATGTGACTCTTCACTTGGCTTCTGGGCACTGTTTGTCCATGGATATATGGGGAAGAATCATTTCTAATGTTTATTTGTTTTTTTTGGATAATGCAGTGGAGAGGACAGGGCTTTACCCTTTTTTTCAACAAGATTAGAAGTTTATTTGTTTTTTTACATAATTAATAAAATGGTGTTAGCGATAATGAAAACCATGATCGATTAATAAGGTATGATTTGGTGTTTCTTTATACAGCCTTTTTTACGCCCTATCTAAATGGATGGACCTGTTTGACTTCGGATGCGCAAGGAAAGTGATCAATTGCTTCCATACCTTAACTCCTATATATGAGCATTTTTGGGCGTTACATACCTTGCCGTGAGGCCGAAGATTAACTATTTTTCTTAATTGCTAATTTATAACTTTTATTAGCTAATAAAATTTGATGCATTGAGTATATTTGGCTATGCAAACATTGTCGGCGATTACTTCACAAAAATTTATTGTTTTATAATTATTCAAACTATCCAAGAAAGGACCTGAA